CTTTGCGAATAAGTTAGCCACCATACTTGCTAGTCGCTTGCTGCAGCTCCACTTATATTTACCCTGCCATACCTATAAGCTTAAATAGTCTTGATCGCGAGGGTGCGAGATTGCTGAGTCCCTGTGGCTCACAGATTACTATTACACCAGATGCAGGGCCCGATGATTCCGCTCCAGGAGACGTGTATGAGCTCAAGTGGGAGTTCGACAAAGACTCACAATGTTACTATGTTTCCTTTCCCTATGATCAGTAGTGGTGCCCAGTTGGGGGTGATTGGGACCATGTCGCATGTTGGGTTCTCTTTTATTTTGGCGCCGTAGTCGGGCCATGAGTGTTTGGATGATGTAATGTTATTTATGTACTTGATTGACGTGGCGAGTGTAAGCCAACTATGTTATCTCCCCTTTATTATTCATATTACATGGGATGTTGTGAAGATTGCCTAACTTGCGACATATGCCTTCAATGCGATTATGCCTCTAAGTCGTGCCTCGACACGTGGGAGATATAGTCGCATCGAGGGTGTTACACCTATGGATAATTCTCGCACTTATCGAGTATCTGCTCATCCCCCAGTTGTTCATGTGTTTCACAATGGTCTTCGAAATACTATTCGATCCTCCAAAAATCCTTAGTAGCTTATTGCTCTGCAATACTTGTCTGCTTGCATTATGGATGCTTTCCATATGTCTGGCAATATTCGTTAGTATCCTTAGACACCGTCATTTTGATCCTATTGATTCAACATGAGTGCGAATGCACGCAATCATCAGTTGATCCTTTTAAATTATCTTTCTGGCTCAGACGTCATTTTTGAACATAAGCTTGTTCTCGACCAATCTGTTTGTCGTCAATTGTACCCTTAGGTCTATTGAACTTATCCACCCTTGATCAGAGCGTCTGCTTCCGATCATTCTATTTGGAAATCATAATTCCTTTGATATCTAAGCATCGAATCATTCAGGTGTCCTATAATCTGATGCCCTTGCATCCTTTCTTAAACTGACTATATGTCGATGCTCACATTAGCTCCGCTATGGACCGTCAGATCCTTTATTGGATTATTATTCGACAGTGTCCTCCTTATTCAATAACCTTGTGAGCTTCTCCTCGAATACATAATGCTTTTGGTAAATTGTATCCTCTATTTTCTCAACCATGCTCTGTTTTCGAGCTGGTGGTATTTACGATTGAAGCTTGTGGTATATGTTTCCTCGATACCCTGACGGGTTGAACCTATGCCTTTCTTAATCTATGTGAACCCGAAAGTTTTCACGGGTCATACTCCTCTGGTAATTCACCAGGTAGGTTTTGACACTGAAATCATTTTTATCTAGAGCAGTGAGTGAAAGGTTATACATTGAAGAAGTGGGAGTCGACCTTGAACTTTGTGTTCATGCCCATGGACACGATGTAGATCTTATCATTAGAGCTTCTCTTAAAATTAAACTTTCCCTTGGTATAAGTTCTTATATCTAGGATCCGGCCTTTTGCAATCGTGGTTTCGACCATATGTTCTTCTTTGACCCCATTTCACGGGCAAGTTTTAGCACTTGTCTTCTGTAGATCAATACACCAATCCAACCTTTACTTTGATCTTCCGTCGAGTATTACACCATGGTACCTTGATAATATCAAGTACTACATAACCTCTTATGAGTTCTTCATCAAGTACTACATTCTCACTGATTCCAATTTTTCACGGGCTCTGAGTTATTAAACACTCAAAGACCGATAACTGAACCGAGTCCACACTATGGTTCAACAACTATTATAAATCTTCTTTGCTTACGAGTTTGTACCCGATCACGTCCTTCCTACCCTATTTGGCTATATCATTACTATGATGATTTTAACTGTGCTACCTGGTCCTTATTCCCGGAGCACAATTTTCGACGATGAGCTAAGCTTACATCGATCTTCCTCATCATACCATTTTGAGTTAAACAATGAGATTGGTTTCGAGTTTGTGTCATACCCTTGGGTTCAATAACCTTTCGCTTCATCATTCCATTGGCTTGATGTCATCGCCGACCGATTACATCTTCATGAAATCTCTCAACAATTGTGTCATGATCATCATCGACATTCTGAGCTCTTCCTGGATGTCAATTGAGTTCATTATGAGAAATACCATCCTTGCCCTCGATGATCTGTGTTATCATCGACCACTTTATTGACTTCCCTCCAACACAAACTTATTCGTGTTTTGTGTTATACTTTGAGATCCTTGCTATCCAGCAATTATTCTTCTTTACCTTGGAGTATTACTATCTTATATGTCAAGAAGGTCGTGAGAATTGCTCCACCTCTTAAGAATTATTGGTATAGTGATACTTCTCGCCATCACCATTCTTTCTTGGTTCCCGTGTTGATTCTAGCCGGGATACCAATAGATGAATGGTGCTGCTTGGATTCTGCACTTCTAGCAACCATATTGCTTTGAAGTTAATGGTCGACATTTCATTCTTCGACCATTGGTTATAGAATCACCATTCTTACATCGATCATGCTACCTAAGCCCATATGTCGGGTGCACCTTTCAACCAATGTTTAATTGGGTATGTTTTTCTCGAGCATACCTCATTATATCATTTAATCTGACAAATGTTATCTCCCTGTTCACATAATTGTGGAAATCCATCTTTTGGAAATCTCGATGAATTGTCGCTAAATTCATCAGCTGCCTCCTCACCCTCTCCTTGTTTTAATGATGAACCCTTGTTTTGGAACTCGCTTCCATAGTTCATTTTCTCGAGAATCTTAAAGTGTCATCTCATGAAATTGTGCCGCACCTTTTCTTCTCAGGCATCCTAAGTCTGAGGTACCGTGACACCAATCATATCCGAATCTCGGTCAAATATGATGGTTAGAACATTTTTTCCAAGAGTCATAACATTGGTCCTTACATGGCCCGGTAAGGTGATGTCATCCTAGTACACTTGGCCGGAGGACCTATTGTTATAGTTTCCATTTTAGCAAGGTTAACCATTCTTCCATGAGGAAATTGTAAGACTTATTCTATAAGTTGTTCCTGATGAATCCTTTGTATATCCAAGTCCAACCTTTGCTTGAAGACCATGTCAATGATATCTCGAAGCATGCCTGTGGTACTCCGATTTTTTTTAACAAGAACATTTGAAACCCAATGCTAAATGATTCTTTCTCAATTATCCAAACACCGTTGTATGGGTAATGTCATGAAATTTCTCTCCCCTACCTAAAGAGTTTTCTACCTTATATCCTGTCATGGATATCATGCTTTGCTTGTCCTTGGAAAGGATATACCCTTGAATATGTGTTTAAACACATTTTCCTTTCCATTGTTCTGTTTAATCTGATAATCACATTTTCCTTTCCATTGTTTTGTTTAACCTTCTTGAGGTTTATATGATCTAAGCAGTAATAAGTCACTGCTTTTGTAAGCACCTCGGTGTACAACTCTGTCAGTAAGAACCTGTTACTATTGTTGATGACATTCCGGTATCCACCGATGGACGAGAACTTTGCCTAATGGTCCGCCTCGTTCAACGAGTAGGAAAATGGTTCTCTTCGTCCCTCGCCCTTGGTACCGATGTTGTTGCCGACATAACCGACAGACTATCCGCTGACATGCCTTACTTACATGATCGTGCAAGATGTCACCGCCCTTCCTACTTTTAACCCACATGGTGGGCCCATAACCCACATGTCCGAGGATCGGAACCTGACTCTCCTGTACACCCCCCATTCCCAAGGTTGTTCATTGCACGTGGCCTCGTATGTAATTCACGAGCCACCTTCCGAGAGACCATCAATTTTGGTATCAAACACAATACTTATTCATGTTGCTTTGAACCCTTCCACGCCCTGTAACAGGCATCGAATGATTGCCTATCCACTTGAAACTTCTTATTGAACCTTCTTAATTTACTCTCGGTGACTTTCTTGAATTTCAACTCGAGAGATGCCTCTGTGCCTCGTTCACCGAGATAGCCCCCAGGTACATACCTAACATGCATTGAGCTCCGTCCTTCCCGAGCTTTCCCCTTATCTTTTCGGAAAGTACAATGGCAATCTTGCAGAAAGGACGACAACTTCATCGTGAGGCATTAAGGCAAAGAAATGAAGACATCAATCTAATGGATCGACCTCTTCGAGAAGAGTAACCAAGACCGAGAAGACACGTTAGAATTTTGTAACCAAAACTACCCCCTTACTCCACCTCTTAAATCTCAGGACGAGATTTCTTGTAGTGGAGGAGATTTGTAACACCCCAGGAATCATGCTACAGTAACCTCACCCTAATGTGCCATGTCAGCATGTTTTATTAAGCCAATTTGCCACCTAATAAAAATCAAACAATAATTCAAATTTGAATTGCAAGTCAACTTATTATTTTTTGAAACGATAAAACTAAAATGTTCAAGATGTTACAAATATTCATTAAGTAATTGTCATGTAACAACCAACAAATTTTGAATTATTAAAAGGCCCCTAACCTAATTAATATAGTACCAGTAGCAAATTAATTGACCACTTCAATTTTTAAAATTATTAAATAATTTCTATTGCCCTGAAACTTTTTTGTGCACTCCGAGGATATTAACTAGCATTTATGTGCCAAGTTTCAACTCAAACAAAAAAATTTGTTTGCTATTTCAAATGAATGTAAAACTGAGTCAGATGTTAAACATAATAAAAGAAAAGGGAGAAAATCTCCCATGCACTTAAGCCCATTAGGAAGGACGTGGTTTTTGTCCTTCACGTTCCATTCACAGCGGCAATCTAGTCCGCTAGCGCTAGCATGTGGATTCGCCTTGCATGTCGGCCAGCACAGAGTGGGACCGATGACCGCTCTCGTATTCATCTGTATCTCAATTTATCACCCCTCCACTCCCACCGTATTCCACAGTAACGGGCCCCCCTTCCCTGCCCCCACCACCACACTACCCCCTTCTTCCTCATTTGTCTCTAGCAAAACAGAGCATTGACCACGAGGTGTTCTTTCTCAGCGTCAATGGCGCCTAGGAATGTCTACACAGGAGAAGGAGGGAGCTCAGTCATATCCACGGATCTAAGCCATGGCAATGTTGAATCAGGCGAATCTCTTCAGGTTATGTTTGCTCCCCTCTCTTTTCCCACTCCCCCCTTTTTCTTTTGGTCAGATCCGCTTCTTCTTAACCTCTTTTCATCTTCTGATCTGCAGCCCGTCCAACCTACGGCCGATGTACCTCCAGAAGAGATTCCGCATCCAGAGTTCTTCGGCATAGATACTTCCTATCCACATAGGTGCCATCACAAAATGTGTCCAGCAAGAAAAGTGGCTTTCGTCTACACGGCCACAGGCAGGAGGTTCCTTGGATGCCCTCTCTCGATGAGCATTTAGTATCTGATTCAATTATCTAATTTTTTGCATTTCAGTTTGCAGACATTCAAATTTCTTCTATATCATCCCAATTTTATCTGTATGCAGGGACCTGATAGGTGCTCCTGGTTCATGTGGATAGATGAAGCATGGGGTCCTGTACTTAGCCGTTCATTAATACAACTTTGGGATCAGGCTCTCCTGGACTCTGGAAGAGCAGCAAGGTTGCAGACAAAGAAAAAGGTAATGGAGCAAGCATACTTAGAGTTGTGGACTGAGAGGAGCAATATGGAGATTGAAAACCAGCAGGTGGTCAACAAGTTGAAGACCACAATACTCGACACTGAGATTAAGATGTCAAGGAGGTTGGAATTTCACACTAAGATGTGTGTGGCATTTATTTCTTCAGCTGTTACCCTTGCTTCAGTGCTCGCTTATGTGCTATCTGCACACTAGTGTAGTTTGTTGGTGATCATGTATGTGCTGAATTAGGATGTTTCGCCACATTGTATGACCATTAAGTTACACCAGTATGTTTTATTCTGTATGTGCCAACTGAGTTCTAGTTTGCAGAGCCCGAATTAAGTTGTTATTTATCCCTAAATATTTTATTATTACCTCCCTTGGCAAGATCACTCATGTTCGGTTTTGTTTCTATTGGCCGCGTGCAAGAATTATTTTCCATTGAAAGTGTTGCATATTAGAGCTGCAAAAGTACTCTTGCAAAAAAGCAAGAAGTTTGTTAAGTTCTTCAGATGATACATATAAAGTTCCATAGGCATTTCTTCAATTTTTGCGCTGTGATAAGTATACAGTTTGTTGCTTCCTGTCATCGGTACCTATTTTCAAACAAATCACTAGAGTTATCCTTTTTTTAATATTTCGACTATGATGGTGCTTATGCAATGCATATTTTTCTGTTTAATCGAGGATGTTTTCTGAAGTCGCATATGTACTGAGGGGGAAACGGTTCATTCTCTTTCCCAACCAGGTTAGCTGAAGACCACTGCCAACATATAGTGTACTGTTTCCGATTATGAAGTTTGGTCGCATTATACCTATGCTTCATTTGGATCATGCAAATATCCGTGGCAAAACAAAGGATTCGACCTTAGGGCCATATTCACTGTAAACCTCATGATTAAGAAGGTACTCCTCTCTTCCCTTTATAAAACCATCAATCAAATGCATTCCCAGTACTTTAACAATGTTGTATCAACATATTCAAGTTAGTTGCCTATTTCCCAGAAAAAGTGATTAATCAGATCATGAACTTATTCCATTCGTCCTAATGACCAGGGGCGGTGCCAGCTATCTGGCATGGTTTGGCTGCTGCAACACCTACAATTTTCTGTAAAAATACCTAGTACACTGCTTCCAAATTTACAAATTTAAAATCGCTTAGGTTCAGTTCCTATTTGGCTTTGTTGGTGGATTTGATGAATTTTTACGTAGGGTCAGTGATCTCATGACTGTAGGGCTCTACACCGACTAGTCAGCTTAATAAACTGGTCGGAGACTTGCAAGTTGTTGCTTTACTCCACAGACGAGCAAAAACATAAATATACTATCCGGACCGCTATGTCACTATTGCCAAAATACTAGAAAGCCGAAACCCTCGTGAAGTTTTGATCATTCATGGAGGCGGCAAGGCACGCAGTAGAAGACATTGAACTGATAGCGGCTACCGTTGGTGATCAGTTTGGGCCAGACAGTGAGGACTCTAGGGTCCAAGGACAACTAGGCTAGTGTGTCATACTAATAATTATATATGGGTTCCACCTTTATAGACTCCGCCATATCTACAATTTATTTCTGCCTTCTGAACTGCTAATCACCCCTGCTGTTATGTGGTATTTTGAATGATGCCACATTGGTCTGTATGCGAAACAATTAACTGAGAACAGCTTGCAAATTTAATAAATTAACATGTTCACCAAGTGAAAGCAAATTAATTCTGATCACATCATAGTTTTAAAGACCGAATAGTTTGGGAAGTTCTATGAATTCTCTTCCGAGGCTAAACAAACATTCAATTCAAGTAGTCCATCCACTCCCGGCAAAATAACTTGTTCATATTGTCCTTCTTGTGAACAAGTCAATCCTTGATCTTGTCGTTCTTGCTAATAAGGCAATCCTTGTACCTCGCAGGCAGATGACCAATGTTACCTTCAGAACCAAGCAAGTCCACAAGCATGTTCATCCTAGCATGCATGACACCCTCACCCTGCGTTTGTTAAAAAATTAGTTATAGGTCGCAAATCAACATGCTAACCCACTTGTTCTGCAAGCATCTTCATTGTTGGAAATTCCTTACCGGGTTCATGTCCCTTTTCAGTTTAGTTCCCATCCAATTCCTTCCAAAGTGAGTAGCATATATGCCCGTGTCTTCCCTGGAAATCATGTCAAATTCAGAATGTCAGTAACTATGCTTATGAATAGACACGATTACATAAAGTAAGCATTAGTCACACAACAAATCATTACTTTCTGCATATCCCTATTGCCAGGCCCCTTGGGAAGCATGTATTCCATGACCTCATGTCTGGCTCCCATCCAGAGAAGAATGACTTTATGCATATCTCTATAGCCTTGTGAAGCTCGTCTGCAACCTTCCTGTGCCTGAGTTGAATTACCTTATCAGACTCGTCACCATTGTTCATTGTTGGGTCGAGGACAAAAATCTTCGCCCTTGGAAAGTCCCATATGTATGTAGACCATTTGAAGTCGAACTTAACTGGCAACACAACCTGTTAATTGGAAAAAAGGCACTGGAGTTTATTAAAGAAACATTATTTATCAAATCTTTTAAATCACTTTTGTCTTCTTAAAAGGTCACCTCGGTGCACTTGTGAACCTCGTAAGTGATATGCGGCCCCACGAACATGTCCTTGATGTACCTCAGCTTTGAAATGTTGTCTCCTCTGCTAACATGGTTTTGCATGTTTCGAATTTATGAGTAACACTTAGCTGAAGCATGGAATTTTTTGTATTGATCAATGATTTCAACTAAAGTTCCTCACCACAAAATCTGGCTCCAGCCAATGTCGCCAACATCCTTCCCCTTTTGCAGCAGCAAAGACCGCATCCATCTGTTGGTACCTTCTCATCACCAATGTCATCAGCACACTATCCACCTCACCACCATCGCGTAGCATCTCACGGAGCCGCTCCCCACTGATGTCCATGTATTTTGGGTTGGTGCTGATAATCCACATACTGCATAGTTGAAATAGAACATATTGCGGTCAACAAACTAGGCTTTACCAATGGTAAGGATGAAAAACGAACTCGAACTATGGTTTTTTCCTGCTGAGAGCTTAGTCTTTTAGCTTGTTCGCGTTCTCCCTATAGAATAGCTTGTATATCTGCACTACATTCGCTGGAGCTCTAGTAGGAGGGTCATAACCCATTACAAAGGGAGACCTTGCATATTTCCCAGGCCTCACCACCCTCTTTGGCTGAGGCTGTGTGCTAAATGATCCCTGTGACATAGTGACGTTGAGGTTGATAGCCGCCTCCTCTATCTCCTCCCTAATGTCAAGCTCGACAGCAGACATCTGGTGGTTGAGGCTAACTGGAGAAGTCCTTGAAGATGTACCTGCAAACACTTGGTTTGGTGCTGGAGTGGCAACAATCTGCATTCCTGAATCTGCATGGCGAACACGGCAAGGTTAGCACGCAGGTCATGACCTAACTGTATTAATTGTATCTATTAACATTTAACCCCAGCTAGTAAAAGAATCACGGTTACCTTCAGGAGTTTGCATCTTGGTTGTTGCAGAACCAGGCGTGCTGTTTGCGGAAGCAACCGACACGTCTGAAACAAGTTAGTAAATAATGAATTAGCTTCCCCGATTCATTATTTTTTCAGTCACAAAGGATGATCCATCATACTGATTTTAAACCATATCGTTGGACGTTGAAACAGCTGTAAAAGCATTCATCAAGTCCGTCTTCCTAAGACCTGACATTACAACTTTGAACTTCCCATGCATCTCTGGAGGATCTATTGATAAATATCCACCTAAGTCCTCAACCTGTCCTGAAGGAACTATTGACAATTGATTATTTTCAACACCATCCTTTTGGTTCTCTGCAGCCTCATCAGTTCTTGTTGCTATTTTTGGAGAGCATATAACTTCATTTCTTGCCGCCCCACACACCACTGACATCTCCAAGTTGTTCCCTGTAGTATTGTCCAACAGCCCTGTCGCATTGCCAACAATCCCACTGTGCAACCTACTGTATTCATCTGCTGCTTCAGTCAGATCATCTATTGCTTTGTTTGCTTCTTCTTGAGCACCTTCAGATTCTTCAGAGCTCTCTATCCTTGCCCTCTTCAGTGTGTGCCTCCTTGATGTAACAACCTTCTTTCTTTTCACACCTAATTTGCTCTTTGCCAATGGTTCCACGTTAGCGGAAGCTCCCTCTGCTGACTCTATGCTTAGTGCATTCTCTGCATCCCCTTGAACCCCTTGAACATCTGAGAAATTACACAACAAACGGGTTAGACAGTTGACAGTTTTTATTCTAAGAACAAACATAATTCTATTTCTTGTGAATTACAATACCTGCTTGGGTTGAATAATTGGGCCTCTGCTTTCGTGCCCTCATTGCATCAGTTATCTGGTTGATGTCTGCAATTATCTTCTCAGTTTCTGAGAGTACTAACCCGTTAGTATCATTGACAATCTCATCCCATCCTTCTGCGTGTCTCTTGTTTAATCTTGCTCCCTTCCTTGATGCCTCATTTACAGCTGTCTTGCACTTGTTGGAGTACTGCTCGACCTTGTTGATACTAATACCTGCAAACTGAATTTTATCGAAGTTTTCCCAATAAATGATGTCAGTTTATGTTCCATCTATTACTTACTCATCAATATATTTGACCTATATCAAAACTTACATCTGTGAACACTTTATCACCCCCAATTCCCTCTGTGCTACACCCAATCCCGTATCCATCAGTTGTTTTCTGAGCTGCTGTTGCCATGGTATTACGGCTGTAGCATACTGTCCCCGGATGCCTTGGCTGTAAATATTTATCCAGAAAGGTTTCATCATTGCCAAGCAATAGGCAAAGGTGACTTATCTATATAAACATACCAGACAGAGTAAAAGCAAATGGGAACCATGCTAGTACGAATATGACATAAGCATCAAGTCATCTCATAGTTAGATATGCTAGCAACGCGGCCATTTGTAACAGCTCAATCAATAGGTATACCACACATGTCCTACTAACTGAAAAACAATATCCTTTCCATCACAAGATTATTTTACTATACTTGTTTTGTATCTTAACTTACCAGTAGGTGTCCATACACTACAATCTCTGCATCTTTCCTAGTTGTCGTGTCTTCATCAATAACATCAGAGATAGTCTTCTATGAGTATTCCTTGCACCTAGGGAACACATCGTGGGGCAGGTTCTTATCTTCTCATTCGAGGTTGTCAAGATAGAAAACCTGTGACATGAAACAAATTTGTGATTAATTGTTTCGTCACAAGTTGAATTCGAAGCAATGACATTCGCTCAAACCTGCAAGAAGAACGTGCATCCAGTGAGATTTGACTTCAGTTTCCCACCTAGCAGTTCAGACTTCACCCTACCAGCAGAAGAAAGGATCTCTTCTCTAATGTACCATCCCCAATTGAACATTTGAATCATATCAGGTATGTGCAAGGCATTCCAATAATCTTTCATGAAATAGTTGTGCTTCAGCGGAGGTACCAGGAGGAAAGTCATCGCACAAATTGCGAAGGCAACCTTGAACTTGTCTGCTTCAGCCTTTGTCATAGCTCTGCCATACCGAATCTTCACTATGTTAACTATGGGTGTGATCTTTTTTTCTCCATTGCCGATTCCTAAGATCTCACGTACAGTACCTGCCATGTGCGGCGGTGCATTCTTGTTAACAGGAGATCCTACTGATGGCACCCCCAGTAGCTTGCCGACGTCTCCGTCGTCGAAAGGTAAGTCTCTCCTAGCATCAATTATGATAGCAGATGCCTTCTCGTCAACTTTGCTCATAAGCCACATGGATTGTTGCCTGTTTGCCTTTATTATTGCTGGTAATTCCAATAGTCCTTCGAACCCCATCTCACGTACCAAAGCCTTTTTTCTTCAGACAGCCCATCAATCAAGGCCTTCATCTTTTTTATGCTGCTCCTTGAATTTATTGGGTTTTTTTATGCCTTCTTCTTGCCCTTTCTAGCGCCATCTGACTCTAACTCTTCTGGTGTACCGATGTGTTGTGTAGGATACACATCGAACCCTTCTGATGATTCCTCATCGGATTGCTTGTAATCAGATGAGGACGAACCAGACACCATTTTCTGTGATGTATTTAGAAACAAAGTCAGGCGACATATATAATATATATCACGATTAAAAAAAGATGGTCATCATTGTTATATGAACCTAGAAATAATTATCAGTTTGTCAATCTCTACAGACATCATAATATTTCCCCCAATTGTACACTCACAACAATACAGTCAACATAGTAAGAATGATTTTCTAATCTAAACCATTACCAATCCTTCTAAGTTATCCTTACAGCCGACGAACCTCTAAAAAATCTTTAATCCCACTGTGTATAAATACTGAATATACAAGCCATACTATAGAATGCAGATAGACACAAAATTAAGTCCACGGATATTGTATTATGTTAACATGTCCTCTCTTGTTAAGTAGTCATTCTCATGTTTTTCACATTTCTTCCAGACAAAATAGCTTT